TTCTTCCAGTCTGTAGCTTGTCTTTTCATTCCACTTACCAGGGTCTTTTGCAGAACCAAAGTTATTAATTTTAATAAAGTCCAATTTATCAATGTTTTTCTTTTATGGGTTATGCTTTATTGTTTGTTTATGGATTGGTGTTATGCCTAAGAACTTTTCAACAAGCCCTAGTTTTCGAAGATTTTTCTCTACATTATCTTCTAAAATTTTTATAGCTTTATGTTTTACATAAGAATCTGTGATCCATTCTACATTAAGTTTTGAACGAAGTATGAGATTCAGATTAAGGGTCAATTTTTTGGCCTGTGGATATCCACTTGCTTCATTATAGTTTGTTGAAATGACTATCCTTTCTCCATTGACTTGCTTTTCCTCCTTTGGTAAAAAATAAGTTGGCCATACTTCCACTAGTACATTTCTTTGTTCCACTGGTCCACTTCTTGTTCTCTCTTTGTTCCATTGATCTGTATATCTATTCCTCCACCAACACCACATGCTGTTGATTATACTAGTTATGGAATAAGTCTTGAAATGAGGTAAAATGATGCCTCCAACTTTACTCTTTTTTTTTTTTTTCCAAAATTGTTTTTAGCTACTTTAGTTTCTTTGCCTTTGTATATGACATTTTAGAATAATCTTGCCTCTATCTACAGAAAACCTTGCAGGGATTTTGTTAGGAATTTTGTTAAACCTATATGTTAATTTATGGAGAATTGACCATCTTTACAATGTTGAATCTTTCAGTCCATGAGTATGACATGTTTCATTTATTTATATCTTCTTTCATACCTTTCATCACCATTTTGTGGTTTTCAGCATAAGGTCCAACACATGCTTTATTAGGTTTATACCTAAGCATCCCCCCTTTTATTGAGCAATCATAGATGACATTGTGTTTTTAATTTCAGTTTCCTTGTGTTCATTAGTATATTGACACCCAATTGATTTTTATATGTTGATCTTGTATCTTGTAATGTTGCTGAATTAATGTTGCTGAATTACTTCCAAGAGGTTTTTTTGTTTTTGTTTTTGTAGCTTCCTTGGGATTATCCAAACATGCAGGTGACAAACGTGCCATCTGCAAATAGGGACAGCTTTGTTTTCTTCCTTTCCAATCTATATGCCTTCATTTCCTTTTCTTGGAAGTCGGTTAGGACTTGCAATACTGTGTTGGGTAATAGTGGTGAGAGCAGCCATCCTGGACTTGTTCCCAATTTTAGAGGAAAAGCCTTCAGCCTTTCACCACTGAGTATGATGTTACACAGTAGTTTTTCTGTAGATTTTTTTTTTTTTTTAAATCAGTGTGAGGAAGGTCCCCTCTATTACTACTTTTCTGAGACTTTTTATCATGAACGGTTGTTGAATTTTGTCAGATGCATTTTCTGCATTGAGATGATCATGTGATTTTTCTTAAGCCTGTTAATATATAGTGGATTACATTAACTGTTCAAATAATTAACCTTTCATCCTTAGACTAAACCTGACTTAGTCATGGCTTATGATAATTTTTTAAAAATATATTGGTGAATTCCATTTACTAATGTTTTGTTAAGGATTTTTGCCTGTATTTTAATGAGGCTTATTGGTTTGTTGTTTTCTTGTAGGTTTTGGTATCATTGTAATACTGGCTTTGTAGAATAAATTGAGAAGTATACCCTTCACTTGTGTTTTTGGAAAGAATTTGTGTAGAGTTGGTATTAATTCTTTTTTAAAAAACATTTGGTAGACGTCTCCACTGAAACTCTCTGGGCTTTGGAGATTTTGGGGGTGGGGGGAGTTTATAAACAAATTCAATATTTTTCATAGTTATAGGACTATTTAAATGACCTGTTTCACAATGGATGAGTTGTGTTAGTTTGTACTAGCTCAGGAATTGGTCCAGTTCATCTAAGTTGTCAAATTTACATGTGTGGAGTTGTTCATAGTATTCCTTTATTATCCTTTTGCTATGTGCAGGGTCTGTAGGGACATCCCATTTCATTCTTTTTTTTTTTTTTAATTTATTTTTGGCTGTGTTGGGTCTTTGTTGCTGCACACAGGCTCTCTCTAGTTGCGGCAAGTGGGAGCTACTCTTGCGGTTCACGGCCTTCTCAGTTGCGGCGTGCAGGCCCTAGGGTGCATGGACTTCAGTAGTTGTGGCGCGCGGCCTCAGTAGTTGTGGCACACAGGCTTAGTTGCTCCATGGCATGTGGGATCTTCCTGGGCCAGGGATCGAACCTGTGTTCCCTGCATTGGCAGGCGGATTCTTAACCACTGCGCCACCAGGGAAGTCCCCCATTTCATTCTTGATATTGGTGATTTGTGTCTTTTTTTTCTCTGTCAGTCTTACTAAAGGTTTGTTAATTTTATTGACCTTTTCAAAGAACCAGCTTTTTGATTCATTGATTTTTCTCTATTTTTCTCTTTTCAGTTCCCTTGATTTCTGCTCTTTTTAATTTCTTTCCTTCTGCTTGCTTTAGGTTTCTTTTTAGTTTTGTGAGATGAGAGCTTAGGTTATTAATTTGAAACTTTCTTTTTAAATGTGAGCACTTAGTGCTATAAATTCCTTAATCTCAGTACTCTTTTAGCTATGCCTCACAAATTTTAATAAGCTGTGTTTTCAATGTGTTTTTTAATTTCACTTCAGACTTCTTTGACCCGTAGATTATTTAGACGTATATTGCTTAGTTTCCAAGTGTTTGGTGATTTTCCTATTATCTTTGATTTTGATTTCATTGTGGTCAGAGACAAATTTGGTATGAGTTCAATTCTTTTAAATTTGTTGAGGTTTACTTTATGGCCCACGGTATGGTCTATCATAGTATATGCTCCATGGGTACTTGAAAAGAATGTGTATTTTGCTCTTGTTGGGTAGAATGTTCTTTAAATGTCAAGTAGACCATGTTGGTTAATGCTGCTGTTGAATTCGTCTATACCCTTTGTAAGTTTCTGTCTGTCAGCTGTTGAGAGGGGTATTGACATGTCCAACTGTAATTGTCGATTTGTCTGTTTCCCCTGTCAGTTCTGAGTTTGCTTCACATATTTTATATCTTGATTGCTTGGTATTTTAATTGATGTTAATATAGCCACTCCTGCTTTCTTTTGTTTAAATAGCTTTATTGAGATACAGCTCATATACCATACAATACATTCATTTAAAGTATACAGCCAGTGGTTTTTAGTGTATTCAGAGATGTGTGCAACCATCACCACAGTCAGTTCTAAAACACTATCATACCTCAGAAAGAAATGCTGTGTCCTTTAGCTGTTGCCCTCCTGTTCCATTCCCATCCCATTCTACTCCATCTCCCCTCCCCTCCGACCAGCCCTAAGTAACCACCAGGTTTACTTTCTGTCTCTATAGATTTACCTATTTTGGAAATTCTATATAGATAGTATTATATAATATGTAGATTTTTTGTGTGATCAGCTTCTTCACTTAGAATAGTGTTTTCAAAGTTCATCCATGTATCAGTACTTCATTCCTTTTTATGGCTGAATAATACTCGATTGTACAGATATGTCACATTTTATCCATTCATTAGTTTGTGAACTTCTGGGTTGTTTCTACTTGTTTCTTGTAGACAGCATGTAGTTGGGTCTTATTTTAATCCACTGTGCCAGTTTCTCTTTTCATTTGATATGTTTGAACTATTTATATTTATTATAATTATTGACATGTTAGGGCTTAAGCCTGCCATTTTATTCTTTTTTTTGAGAAAATTGTTTTCTCGTATTTGAAAACGTATTACGTGATTCAACAAAAACATCACACACATCATTGACAGACAAGGGAAGTTCCAACATATGTCTTTATTGCTCAATGTTTCAACTTTTTCTTACTTTGTCTTACTCTTTAAATGAAATAGCATCCAACTTTTGTATTAGAATTTTACTCATTCATCACTTGCAACCATAGGTTAAGCACAGATGAGTTATATGAAAATCGCCTAACACATTCTGTGAGAATCAATGGCTAAGTGAAATTTATAATAAAGTATATATTTTATTAGTTGTAAAATGTGTGCTACAGATCCTTTCCGTCAGTAAAATTTATAATAAACTTACGTCATTGGTTGGGAATGTAATTATTCACAATAGGTAAGAGATAGAAACAATCTAAATGTCTGTTGATGGATGGATAAAGAATAGATAGATAGATAGATGGTATCATATACGAATACGGTTGTGTGTGTTCACACATATGCAACTCCCCCCTCTCCACCAACCTCAACCCAACCTCAATGATTGTTAATCATTAAACAGCACATCACTGTGAATTTTTAGAATAAAAGGTACCTACAATTTTAGTTTAATAATTCTAATTCAACAAACTGAACTGATAACAAGCAAATGTTTTATTCATACCTTCTATTTCACAGTATTTATTATCTTTATGTCATGGTCTATGAGCTGCTAGTGGTTGATTACCGCAGAATGACATTACAAGTCTTATGGTTAGATGCAGTAATTATATGAATACAATATTCCTTCTTCTGGGTATTGAGAAATTTTGCCTTGGTAATCACTAAGAGAATGTTCACAATTAAGTTAAATTCTTCTTGCTCTCAGATTATAAAAAATTTTAGTAGCATCTCGCTTCTGTTTCATGTCACATTGATATTGTAGAAGGTAGAAAAGAGGTTACCCTTGTTTGTTCCCTTGAGGATGGTGCAGACTATGTGCAGAATGTCCACATGTTTGAAGGATTTTCTAAAATGGTATTTCATAACCTGACAGACAGAGCAGCAAGAAAGAGTCTAGTATTTCAGCACTAATACTTTGTAATATATATTTCTGTTCATGAAATCTTATTTAAGAACATTGCTTTAAAATTATTCAATGTTAGACTGTCTTCTCTGACTTGGTAGAGACCTTTCAGTCTCCACTGCAGTACTAAACAATTGTATGTATATATGACATCCCCGACTTTTTTTTTTGGTCATGGATGGCTTTATTTCTTTAATGTATGTTTATGTTCAGTATCTAATTCTAAATTTGTCTTGACTTTCCCCCTTCAGTTTAATGAGTGGTGTTAAGAATAATGTTGGAAGAGGGATCAATGTTGCCTTGGTAAATGGTAAGAATAATTATTTTAGCTTATGAATGTACTCAGTGTATATTCATATGTCCCAAAGTAAAATGCACTCTAATATCAAGAGATCAGGTGAGAAAGAGCCAGGCTTGACATTAAAGCCCTCCCCACACCCTCCCAAAACACCAACTGTAGGTCGAGACTCTGCATCTCAGTATTTATAGCGTGCTTTCTTGGAAGCATCCAGCTTGCTGTCCAGTAAGTAGAGAACTTCCCATGAGATTGTCAGGATACAACCAATCTAACATTAAATTGATGAATCCTTGCTGCAGATTTTGGAATCCTAACATAATATGGATGGACGTGAATGAGGGTTTATAGAATGACAGAGCGTAGTGGACTACTGGATGGGGTGTGGGGCTGAGTGAAGAGTAGGAGTCGATTGTAATTTTTCAGTATCGTCCACGTTGAATCCTGAACATCTCGAGTGTTCTTGCAAAATCACATCTGAAAATATGAACTCGTGAAGTGAGACTCAACTGCATACTCGTCTTCTCTTTCTGGGACAGTCACCCTTGTAAATCTGTATAGGGTGATTATAAACCACAGCCACCTTCTGCAGTTCACAGTGTAGGAAAATATTGTTTACTTCTTTCACAAGAGATACATTTTTGTGTTTCTACTTTCTTCATTTTCTTAGCTATAAAATGTTCTATATGTATTTGTCTATTTAATTGATAGCAAAAAAAAATTTTTCAAAGGGAATTAAATACAAATTTTTTGAAAGATGGCTTTGACAATAGAAAATAGCATGGATTCATGGTTTTTTTTTTAAAGGTTTATGTATTTTGGGGTAATTTTAAAATAAGGGAAGATGGTAACACATACGGATGAAAAATATCTAACTTCCAGTGATCTACAGTCAACAGTGAACTTCTGTTTGCTACTCTTCAGCTTCCAAGATTAGTGAGAAAGTCCTATTCAAAAAATACCCTTTTAGAAAAAATTTTCAGATGCATACAGTTCAAATTTTAAGTATTTGTCATAATAATTCTTTCTCTGCTAATGAATTCACATCAGTCATTGGATAAGATCATTTGTCTTATATAGTGTAGAGTATATTTCAGTTGCATAATTTGCCATGAATTCAATCTCTTTCAGGAAAAACAGGAGATCTAATAGACACCAGATATTTTGACATGTGGGGAGGAAGTAAGTATGAATAATATGTAAGTGTTCTGTTGCTGGCACTGAATCACATCAATATAATGTAGCCCATTAATGAGAAAATAATGGTACTAATTTTGTGTTAGTTCATTTTATTACTCTTTCTTTTCACTGAATGTCTAGCTGTATTTAAGTGATCAGTCTTACTGTATACACTTTGCTTTTTATAAAAATTGTTGGTGATGTGTAATTAAGAGCAATAATATCACAATTGAGATTTTAAAAAAATCTGAGTCCTACTTTTTGCAGGACAACTAATTCAAAGCTTCGGGCTCTTTTAGGCTTCTGCCTGAAATTTCTAAAAAAAAGAATAAGTAATTTGAAAAAGGACATAACCAGTGTAAGCATTCTTAGCTGACTGAATTGATTTCTTTTCATATGATTTTTCAGTCTCAAAACTAAGTTTATAGCCAGGATGATTATTCAAGTAGATGAATATTTGAGAGAAGGAATGGAATTTCCTTTCTGGTCTACTGGACTAAGAACAATCCACAGATGATCTTCCTAAGTTGGAAGTTCCTCAAGGAGCAGGTGGAAGTTAGTCACCAGCATGCAGAGGGAAGGAACTGGCACCTCGAAGAAGGATGTGCCTGAGAGAAGGAAGGCCAGCACTGATTGAGCTTCTGATTCTTTTCTAAGTCGAGGCTCTCCCCTGCACCTCCCCATTCTCATCCGCTTTGTATATTCCTTGGAAGCCAGCAGTTGTTAGGCTTCCTGAAATTTATCTTGTTTTCAGACCATTCAGCTTTTCTAATATTTCTTCAGCTTGTAATGAGATAATGCATGTATTATTTATTTTTTAAATGAGATCAGAAGAACTTTGTATAGCTGTCAAAACTGTGTAAACTTAAAATGTACCATCAATTTTAGATACTAAAGGCGTAATTGGTTCTACCAAAATTTATTGCATGGAATAACTCTTATAAAACTATTGTCGAAATCACTCATGTGACCAGAAGCTCTGGTATTTCATCTCAGGTGGATTAACTACTGCTAAAAATACTCCTCAAATTAAGAAGAAGTTGTAAATTACTGCCATCTTTGGATTTAAATCGAAGTGATTTGTTAGCTGCTCTGTTACATTTTTTCTGAATTAAAAATGCTGTTATTTTAAGATAGAATTCAGTTAGAGAAAATCTTTGGAATCTTTGCTGTGGAAAGAAACTGAGTAGATTTGAAGGAACCCAGTTTTGAAGTAGTATTAGACTTGGGGGCTGTAAGGAAACCTGACGTTGTAAGGAGTTCAAGATGTAGAATAATTTGCAGTACCTGAGCAGCCTCTTTGGCATCATCAGTTTATTGTCACTGAAGTGGTGTTTAAGCCCTTCTGAATCTTGATATACTAGATGAAGCAGGTAAAGACTGCAATATTTACCTTAATTAGTTTGGCTTTTAGTGATAACTAACCTACATTCCTTCCCCTAGTTTATAGTAAGTAGATATGCCCAGGAGTTTCTTTAAATCAGTGTGTGTGTGTATACAGTTGTCCCTTGTGTCTGCAGGGGACTGGTTCCAGGACCCTCCACGGATAACCCATAATCTGCATATGCTCAAGTTCCATAATTTGACCTCCATATCTGCAGTTATTCATCCGCGGATTCAACCAAGTGTGGGTTGTGTGGTACTGTAGTACTTATTGAAAAACAATCTGCGTATAAGTGTTCAAGGGTCAAATGTATACATATTTATATAATTTTTTTTAAATTACAGATCCTTTTGTGCATTAAATAAAAGTTCTCTGTCTTCATTTTTAGAAAAGTATCTGTGCAAACAATTTGCCATGTACTCGGAGTCCATGAGCCTTTCTCCTGCTCCCCTAAATTTCTTACTTTAAATCATAAGTCATGCTTTAATATGACTTTGCTATGGTTTTTTCATTTAGCCCCTGGAATATCAGTATAAAAAACGTACAGGATGAATCAGGATTGGGAAATTTTAAGTTGATGGGAAACTTAATTTTTAACCTGTTCATAAGATTTGTCTTTCTTTTGGTTACTCTACGTTAGAAATTATTGATTTACAAGAACTTCATTTTTATATTACTAACTTTTAAGAGATTATCATGATGTTTACTCAGTCATTTAAAAACAAAAACCAAAAAACCAACCCTCAACCCTTTCTTTTTTTTCAGATGTGGCCCCATTTATTGAGTTTCTGAAGGCCATACAAGATGGAACAATAGTCTTAATGGGAACATATGATGATGGAGCAACCAAGTATGTAAACTTAAAAATTTATGCAACTTTTCAGAGTTATAATTTATAATAATATAAGATATACATTTTCAATGAAAACATTTATAATATAGAGCAAAGTAATCCAACTTTCAGATGAACACCATTAACATTTTTTTATTTTGCTTTCTTCTTTCTTGTATTTATTGTGATACATTGTTGTGAAATTAGAATCACGTTGTACATGAAGTTTGTTATACTCATTTATGTTCTGTTTTTAACAACTATATAGTTTTCTCTGACAATAATATTCTTCAGTAGCATTTTTTAATGGCATTTCCCGAAGTGTGTTCCGTGAACACACTTTAAAGCTGTAATGGCTCTTTTAACCTTTTATCATGTTACGTTTCCAGGTCATTTTACCCTCCTGGTTGGATTTCTTGGGCATTCTCTAGGTGATTATTGTCTCTTAAAATGGTGCCCCAAGTTGGACATAGTGTTCCCAGATGTGGTCTGGCCAGTACAGGGTACAGTGGAGATGGTAGCTCACCATGTTTGAGAAATTACGTTTAATATTCATGGAGACTAGTGTTGCATTCGTTTTCTTTTGGCAGTCACATCACATTTTTGGTCAACTTAAATTCTCAGATCTTCTCATTTGATCTCAGATTTTTTTTTTTTTTTTAAACCACTGCCAAGTCAGGTCTTCCTCCCCATTTCAGAACTTGCTTTTGTTTAATGTGAATGAAGGACTTTATATTCATATATCCTTGTTAAATTTAATTTTGCTGTTATTGGCCCAGTTGGTCTCGATTCTGACATTTGTCCTATGAGGTTTCCATGGCCCAGGCTTCATACTCTCTCCAGAGTCTTTCAGGTGTCTAAATCTAAGTCATTGACAAACACGTTTACCACAGGCAGTGTGCCACCAGCTGGAGGCCGCCTCCAAGGGATTCATCTAGTCATCAACTGCAGAACTACTTTTCAGACAGTTTCCACTGTATCCTAATAGGCAAAGCGTTCAGTTGCTGTTTAATTATTTTATTTTCTGAGACCATCAGATACTCACTTGAAATTCATGAACGATGCTAATTATAATACCCTGATCTACTGCCCCCAAACCTCTTCTAAATCTGAAATATATGAGATGGTGTTAACTTGGCTTTATTTATTCCTGCCTCCTTCCAGCTACTCCCTCTCTCTTTTTTTTTTTTTTAAATTTTTGGCCGTGTTGGGTCTTTGTTGCTGCGCACGGGCTTTCTCTATTTGCAGCGAGCAGGGGCTACTCTTCGTTGCGGTGCACAGCCTTCTCATTGTGGTGGCTTCTCTTGTTGCAGAGCACAGGCCCTAGGCGCGCGGGCTTCAGTAGTTGTGGCGCACAGGCTTAGTTGCTCCACAGCATGTGGGATCTTCCCGGACCAGAGCTCAAACCCATGTCCCCTGCGTTGGTAGGTGGATTCTTAACCACTGCGCCACCAGGGAAGCCCTCCCTCTCTTTCTTTTCTTCTTCTTTGTGTAATACTCACAGGAGATCCATTCTAAAATTTCTGCTCCATTCTAGAATTTGCTAGGAGTTAGAATTAGTTTGATTGGACCATTGTTTTTAAAATTTTCCTTGTCTTTTTTGAAAACTGGAATATTTAACTAACTTTTAATGTCTTAGCATCTTCATTTTCCATGATGCTTCTAAAATAACTGACACAACCTTGAAGACTTTATTAATAAGTTCCTTAAGAATTTAAGTGTGTGACATGTGTGGGCCTGGAGGCTTAAATTTATTTTAAAGCACTTAATATGGACATTCCTGAACTACTTTTCCCTTTTTATGTTGACCGAAGAGTGTTTGCCTCCCTGGAAAAGACAGTTGTGCTTTGATCTTGATATTATATCATTCTTGTGAAACAGTGGGTCCCTTCATTATTTGTACTTGGTAGCAAAGTTCTCTCTGTGGCCTTCAGTAGTTGTATGAGTCACATCTCATTTTGAGCACTCAGGTCTTCCTGGTAGTAGTATTAAAAGTTTTGTCATTAGTAACATGATGTGCCTTGTATTTTTGCACACTTCCTTTTCTCAGTTTGAACCCATCACACAATGTAAGTGGACTCAGGGAGTTCAAACCCATGTTGTTCAAGGGTCAGTTGTATCTCCAAAATTAATGCTATGTATAAATATATTAGTTACACTACACTGCCTTTTAAAGAAATGGGGCATTTTGATACCTACTGTATCAAATGCTCAAAATATTGGCTGTGTTGCATGGTTTTAAACTTCTTTTTAAAGCATGAAATCATCTTTTACTTACATAAAAGATATCAAAAAGGAATAATAAAAATCCCCTAGATTCTACATAGGCAGATTAGAAAACTTTAGAAATTATTGAGAAAGTTGTCTTGTTCTAAATCTGTAGTTAGATATACATAGGGACATGCGGCAGGGCTGCCCAAGACCACCCCCAGGTGTGATGATTCACTGGGAGGAGTCACAGGACCCAGCATACAGACCTGCTCACTCACTGCTATGATTTGCTACAGCAAAAGGATACAAAGCAGAATCAGCAAAGGGGAGCTAGCAGAGAGCAAAGTCTGGAGGAAGCCAGGCTCGAGTTCCTCTCCCAAGTGGAGTGACACAGGACATGCTTAATTCCTCCAGCAACAAATTGTGACAAGACTATGAAATGCTCTCCACTAGGGAAGGTTATTAGAGACTCATGGCCCAGGGTTTTTACTGGGAGCTGGTCATGGAGGCACCCTCTGCCTTACATACCCCCAAATTCCAGACTCCCAGACAGAAAATAGGTGTTCAGCATAAACTGTATTGTTTGTACAGTTTAGACACAGTGAATCATTCTGATCAGTTCTGTGAATGGGGGGAGACTCCCCAAATCCAAGTTTCCAGATGCCAGCCAAGGACCAGTCTTGCTGTTAGGGCTTTCTAACGCGTTTTATCAACCCTTTTCTGCACAGGACCTAAGGGTGTTCTCATTGAAAAGTAAGGAAAGATTAACAGGATCAAAATGCAAAGCTGTTTCAAGTTGCTTCTAGATCTTTGGCTAAATTGGCTTAGTTTATTCATACCGATCAAAATGACCACTTCTGAAATTTAGAAGTACAGAAGGAAAAATGACTGCCCTTCAATATATTTAATTGATGTAAAAATTTTTAGATAAGAAAAAAATTTATGGACTTCCGGCTGGGGGCCAGGCCTGCGTTTGGATAACCACCTACCTTGCAAGCAGTTTTTGTGTATGAAGCAATCTCTTGGCATTTGTGAACCTAACATTCATGAGCAACCCCGAAGCCTGTGAGATGCAATTTGTGATTTTCTGAGATGTAACTGAATCAAGCCCTGAGGCTTTCCTCCAGGAGGTTGTCATTACGCTGCCCAGTAAGCCTGACCTCTGTACTTCAACACCATTTGTTCTCGATAAAGCAGCAAAACTCACTACTAGTACTGATGATGCAAGTAAAATGTTCTAATTAAGGAACCAGAAATAAAATATTTGGATAAACTAAGGAGTAGAATATGATGGTCTGCAGATCCATGACATCCTAACATGATTTAGAAACAAGAAAACAGGGTTCAGACAATACTTTCTGGGAATGTCCCTCTAACATACAAGTTGCTTATCAAATGAGCAGACGAATGGAAGTGATAGCTAATTCATGTAAGGACGGGTACAGGAAACACAGCTACAGACAGACTTTGGGGAGAAAGCCAGACGTGGGTACACGTGGTTCTCTGTGAAGGTCTCAAAATCTTCAGAGGCTGAGACTTCACTGGTCCCACAGCCATTTCATTTATTTTTATTTCCCTTGATTATAAAGACATCACTTTATATAGATGAGTCTGAAAGGCTAAATATTCCAGGGCTGCCCCTGATTTTCTTACTGATTCTAGTGAACTTCCCCCAGGAGGACAGCAGTGCCCAAGCTATGGTTAAAACAGCTCCACTGCCCCATGGATGTGGTTTGTATAATTGTGGAAGGCTAATAACATTGTAGCTCTTTCCTGTTTTATGAAGCTTTTTTTAACATAATGTATCCCGTTTATCTTCAAGTAAGTTACATTAGAACTGTTGCGCCTCATGTTTCTTTCATTTATACATTAAAGGAGCCAGCTGATATTAGCATGGGGTGCTTCAAAGAAGGCTGCAGGATAAACAGGCGCCTTCCACTGGCCCTCCTGCTACTTTGCAGCCAATGATCCTCCACTTACTTGCAAATATAAAACTTGCCTTGCCTCAGATTTTAGAAGAACAAACCTCTCTAATTGACCTATAAATGCCATCTTTTGGGTGATATAGAGGACTTACTGGCCAGATACCTGCACAGGTGTCCCTTAGTTATCTTTTTGTGTTTTGTTTTTTTTTTTTTGGCTCTACAACCAGCACGTATCTTCTGAATTTCTTCTCCCTTTTGAGACAGAGGAGAGGTGGAGAATCACTCACAAAATCACTCACAAAATTCCTTAAAGGCATCTTTCAGTTAGCTGTTTCCCTAGCAGTTGCCTTTTGTCACTGCCCTTTCTTAGCCGCTATGTGGTTAATATTTTCATTTTTTATTAAATAACCACTTGGCAGTTGTCTCTGAAGTAGAATTTATATCCCTATTCTCAAAATTCATTTTCTTTTAAATAAAACATCTGGTGTTAGAAACATCCAAATTTCTATCAACATTTACCTTTATTCTATTCAACTGTAATTTACAAAGGGTTTAGTGGAGATTCAAAGTGATTTTTAATTTTACAAAGATGTTGATTGCTTAAGATCTTGGATTAACCTGAATAGGCACCTGCTGACTACAGTTTCTCTTATTTATTTGATGGATGTAAATGAAAATGAATTGTTGTTGTGAAATAAAGACACCTAAAAGGTACTTCTAAATAGCATGAACTTGAAATGAATTTCTAGATTTCATGGCTTTCATCACTAAAGAATTCAAATAGGACTTCCCTGGTGGCACAATGGTTAAGAATCCGCCTGCCAATGTAGGGGACTCAGGTTCGATCCCTGGTCCAGGAAGATCCCACATGCCTCGGAGCAACTGAGTCCGTGCACCACAACTACTGAGCCTGCACTCTAGACCCTGCGAGCCACAACTACTGAAGCCCTCATGCTCTTGGGCCCAGGCTCCACAGTAAGAGAAGCCACCGCAATGAGAAACCCACGCACCACAACGAAGAGTAGCCCCTGCTCGCCGCAAGTAGAGAAAGCCCGTGCACAGCAACAAGGACCCCGTGCAGCCAAAAAAAAAAAAAAAAAATTCATTAAAAAAAAAAAACTCAAATAGTAGGAATGTTACTCTGATAAAAAAAATTTTTTTATGTTCTCTTATCTAAGCCAGCATTCTCTCTCATTTATTTCATGGTTGTATGTTAAGTATCCTAACTGTATCAGTATTACTTAAATAACATACAGGGCACTACATTTATTGAATTATTCTTTTCCTCCCTCTTTAAGACTCAATGATGAGGCCCGGCAGCTCATTGCTGAATTGGGGAGTACATCTATTACTCATCTTGGTTTTAGAGACAACTGGGTCTTCTGTGGTGGAAAAGGCATTAAGACAAAAAGCCCTTTTGAACAGGTTAGTGTCTTAGGCTTTCCTAATTAATGGACAAAAGCAATTGTGTGAAATCATGCAGTGCCTATTCCTATCCCAGTTATTTGAAACTTAGATAAAGCAGACATTAAATATGTTCATGTGTTTTTCATAGGTTCTTGGTATTCAAGTATTTGAAATAACCGTGGCACTATTTTGATTTTAAACTTAAAAATAGTCAATTCTGCATGAAAATTTTTTTCCTACATGACAATGCATTGGCATATGATTAGTTTTATCTTAAGCCTTTTAGGAAATTGGTTATTAAAGACTTTAATTGAACTTTTGTTGCTGTAATCAATTAAGTTTAGAAATACTTTAGAACTTGGTAGAATGTAAACCTACTTTTGACTAACAAGTGATCCTTTAAAGACCATCTGCAGTGTTTTGTTCTTTCAGCTGTTCTTTGAAGGTCTGCTACTACGTGCCAGATGCCAAGTGTTGCTCATTTAATATATTGAACAATAATTTACATGTTGATAGAAGTGTTACTGAAGTGAGTACGCATAAGTATGCTATTGCAGATATGCAGTTCGCTAAAATTTTAAAAACTGTATACTATGATTGTGTTCCAACAGCACATAAAGAACAATAAGGACACAAACAAATATGAAGGATGGCCTGAAGTTGTAGAAATGGAAGGATGCATCCCCCAGAAGCAAGACTGATGTGGAGAAAATTGAAGGGACCATACTTTCACTTGCTAATGGGAAAGCCCTAACCGAAAAACTACATGTAAATATTTTAAGAGCATGCAGCCATCTCGGTGTGTGCATGACCATTATCTCTTTTGATATCAGGATTATTTATTGCTAACGTAAATAGACATCTTTGTAAATAGTCATCATAATGAGCAAATCACTGAACCATTTCTAAGCACATCTCCCTAATGGTACAATGTTCAGACTACGATGATAATGGCATCTTTTAATTCTAAAAGCATTATACAATGGATAACTGAACAGATTTGAAAAATGTATTGATATATATACTAGTCGCTGTGAAAAATCTATCTTGGAATAATATGGGTTTTAGGGAGGAGACTTTGTTTTCTTTTATATATATATATGGCCTTTTGATGATAGTATCTTTTAAATTAAAAAGATATTGGGCTAGTTGTGTGTGTAATGTTACTTTACAGTCTGACTCCCCTGTTGTATTTCTTTTCTTAGTCTTTCTCTTTCCATCCCAAGAAACCTAGAAATAAAATATGAAAACTTGTATCAAATATGTGAAAAGCACAACAGAATTCTTCGTTTAATGTACACAGTAAAGAGGAAATATATGAATGTAGGTGCATCAGGGCTGTAGCTTGCTGGATTTTGAGTTAATAGTGTGCATGAGTTGATTTTGCATAAGCTATAGAGTAAGACTGCGGGGTGGGGGGGCGGGCAACTCCGCAGAGCTGAGGAACCAGGCCAAGTCCCTTCCCCAGCCTTGGTAGGTCATTCAGGACAGCATGTCAGTATAGTTAGAGCAATACTGGCCTAAGTTTTCCTTATTTAAGTGTCATCAGCAATGACCAAGTGGTTTTGAAAGAGGCATGTTTTAATGTCACAATAATTTTGGATTGTAAACCAAGAAATTCTGTATTTACTTTCATCTAACTTCGTAAGAGTAATTTTTGCCCGAAAAGTTAACGACATATTTAGAAAGGTCCTGATTACTGATTGGGACTGATACTGTTTAAAAAAATAATTTTATTTGACACACAATGACTTTATACCCAATTCTACATAAAAATATAAGAGATCTACCTTTTCTTAACTTCAGATGTTCACAAAATGACTCAAGTTTTTAAAATATTTTTAGGGCATTAACTATTGTGTGTGAAGTATCTTAAACTGGAACATAAAAAATGTAACAATCAAACTTCTATTCCCAGTAAAAGGCAGCAGTTCAATTTTGGATCTAAATTTTAGATGACTTATATAAGAAAAACTAAAAGCAGTATTTTTTATTTTGCTGTAAACCAAGGTGGAAGTTATTCAGCTATTTCTTAAATATCAGTGAGTTTGGGGGTACTGTTTCTTCCCTCAAACTGAATGTAATTCATGAATAAATGCACCTTACACATCTAAACAATTTTTGTAAACTTTTCAGGTTTTTGGTGCTGATACGCTAAATCACGTTCAGCATGTGTGTTTTGACATTTAAAATACTTCCCTCAATTCTGTAAATTAAAAGAATGGCTATTTTACAGTTCCAGGGATTGTGAAATAAGTGTTGCTTTTTTAAAAAATAATAAGAATAAATACTCTTGGTTTTGCATTGTGAATTTTTTTTGTATTATCTGGCAAAGTAATATATGCCTGTAGAACTTCACACTGAGGTTTGTCAAGTGTGTATTGTACTGCTTAACATGCAAAATTAAAGTCATTCCTATGGGTAAACACACTAATATCCTCAGGAGATATCTTAACATGGATAGAATTTAAGTATCTAGACGGCAGGACATCCCTTTCAGGATAAGGACTATAACATGATAGCTTTGTAGAGGTGTATAAAATGCCAAAAGGAGGTATAAAGATTGGTTATGTAACTGCCTTCATGCAGTTTGCTATTGTTTCAATTCTGCCTTGTATACATTATGTCAACATAACTTTGGAAGCAATAATTTTACTGTATTTTATTTTCAGATAGCTTTTAAAAATCAGCATTGTAAATGCAGCAGTGTCATTTAATGTTCAGAATTTTCATTAAAATCAAAAATTTGGCATTGACACTTTGGTTTTTTAAATGGTGTTTAAGGACTTATGGATGTGTATTTTTTATTTGTAATCATAGAGGCTGTCCCAGGACAAGTATATTATAATAGGCCTGTTAAAATTCAGCAAAGACAGTAGGAAAATAAGTGATATGGGGAAATGAAAGGAAAATTGAGCCAGAATCTGTATATTCTTGACTTTAATTAAAGGTTATCACTGTTCTTTCTATATTGTATTTGTTTTGAAATGAATTAGCTGATATTTTATCATTTTTTGCCCGACGAAGCTCAATGCCTTTAGCCTGAAATGCACTTTTATATTTAGTGTATACAAATTATAAATAGGTTGACCCCCCCAAAAGATGATAGTTTAATTCAGTTTCATTGACACTCCCCATTCTTAAATGAAAGAATGAGAAATGTGCTATGTTCAGTTAGTAGAGCAGTTGAAAGTGGAAATGCATTTACAATAGTTTAAAAAATGAATATGAAAGGGAAAAATAATTGCTCGTGTTGATCAGGAAAAAGATTTGCCACTTAACCTCTTCACCTGGGCCTTCGACAGCAATAAGTGCATGTAAATTAGGAGTTGTAGAATGAAGTACCAGATCTTACTTTTTCTAAAGCATTCCTCAGAAGCGTTCTTTGGCTGTCTCTTCCCAGGATGATTTTTCTGTTGTAGACTTGGTTTTTGATTGGCACATGCCAATGGCTAATCTCTGTTTCCCTCAAAGCTCCCTCAGCCTGGCCTCAGCCTCTACTATTGTCCCCATCTCCTTCCTTGAGGTTCCAGTGAAGTTAGATGGAGCAAAAAGCAGGCAGGCCTGGCCTGGGAGTATCAGGGAGCAGCAAAGGATGGTGTAGCCAGCCTGGTGAAAGCCCATCTGGAATCTAAGAGATGTCCTGTCCCAGAACCTTCCTCCAGTCCAGTGAGGGGCAGAGTACTGGAGGGCAGCTGTATTAAGGAAACACTTTCCACACTAAGATGACTCTTCTAGGAGTGCTCAGAAAGGAAGAGGGACTGCCAGCCCTTTGGGTAGAGACAGAAGAGAGGTTTCTCTTGGGTTTGTTCCATGGGTAGTTTATAAGCAAACGTTAACACAGCGAAGACAGTCTTCCCAGTACAGCTGGTTCACAGGTACAGCGGGCTGCCATCGCTAAGCTCCCTGTTCAGCTCTGCAGAAATCATGCCTACCACCTGAGTGTATTGACAATTGAAAGAACAAGTTGAAACTCAGTTGGCAAAAGATACTCCCTTTATTAGGGAAAGTTGATTTATGAACCTGCAAGCTTCTGATGTTCCATATGATCATCCCATATTGTTTCACTTGATAAGCAGAGAGGAGCAGGGCCTAAAATCTTAAAGAGGAGAGACTTCTGTAATTCGACAGGGTAGCCTACTGGCTAAGAGTACACAGACCTGCCTGAGTATGTGTCTCTGTTCCACCATCAGCTACGTGAGGACCTTGAGAAAGTCAGTATCGTCTCCTGCAAAACTGGGATAGAACTATGTATTTGTGGTGTTTACCAAAATGCCTGACACAAACTACTCTTTAAATGCAGCTGTTAGCATTTCTAGTATTGCTATGTCTTTTGCATTCTAGTAATGTTTTAGCCATAGAGGAAAGTTAAGTCAGCCTCTAGCTTTCCAACCCCATCATACCAAGTGTTATGGTCTGAATATTTGTGTCCCCTCAGAATTCACAGGTTGAAACCTAATCCCCAACGTGATGGTATTATTTGGAGGTGGGGCCTTTTGGAGGTGATTAAGTCATGAGGGTGGAGCCCTCCTGAACGGGATTATTGCCCTTATCAAGCAGACCCCAGAGAGCTCCCTGGCTGGGCTTCTCTGCCACGTGAGGACGCAGTGAGAAGATGGCCATCTGCGAACCAGGAAGCAGGCCGTTTCCAGACGCCGAGTCTATTGACACCTTGATCTTGGACTTCCCAGTCTCCAGAACTGTAAGAAATAAATGTGCTCTTCATAAGCCACCCGGTCTGTGGTGTTTCGTTATAGCAGCCCAAACAGACCAAGACACCAAGCCAGAAGGGAACCATTAAATGACTAGGGTAGTAAGATCATGAGAGAGGCTACAGCTATTCACCAGAGGTTCTCCTTAACCTCCAGGCCCCTGACTATATACTACCAACCCTTCCACTCTGACGCTGAACTCTCTCTCATGTGCAGAATTCAAGCTTTTGTGTATCTCCATGCAGCTAGCATTTCAAATGATCACATGATATAGTTTCACTTGCTGGCCCCCCACAAGTATGTGAAGTTATGTGACTTCAGTCAGAGGCAGGGGGTGTTTTCTGATTCCTTCCTATGGCAGCAGCTGAGTCTCATAGGACACTCTGCTGAAGCCCCAGCCCCAGAGAGCACACGAAAACCTCCAAACTCTCCACACAACTCCTGCCCATGGCAGGGTGGGGCGGCCATCAGGTCAGAGAAGATACTGAGACTTGGCTGACCCCCTTGCACCCCAGCATTTGCTTCTTGCTCAGAGGGCCTGTGAAGGTTCCTACCTATCAGCAGGGGTGCCTGGGCAAAAGAAGAATTTTGAATGAGAACTTTGAAACCTCTTTTTGGTCTCTGGGATCAACACTTCCCTTATAAGTCTGTTATTTGAAATGTATTCATTGGACTTTCAAACACATTTTCAGCAATGCATTATGTGTTCATATGCAGTCCTGCTTGTCTACCTTCCACGCAGGTGCTGTTGGTACTGCTTGGATGTCACCTGATCAGATGAACAAACTCAGTACTGGTGCGAGGAATTCTTTGCAGGGTCTTAGCCTTCTGCGTCACCAGTGGAATGAGATGGCAGACCTGGAAATTGGCTTCTCTGCACCCCCGTGTAGAGGGAACCTGATGAGAGAAGTACTGTGTGCTTCGTTTGACAAGAATAGAAATGAATTTCAAAGAAAATGTCTTGCAGGTCCAAGCTCGGAGCAGAGGACAAGTGAAAGCAAACGATGCTGAGGGGTAGAAATATGTTCAGTCTTGGGGAAGACTGTGGTCTCTGAGGGTTGTGATTCTCATGGGGAGACCCTGGGTGGAAGAAGGAGAGTGGTTGGTGAGGATATCCTGAGGTGTGAGGAGTGAGCCCGTGTGCCCTTGACCAAGGGGAGTGCACCTTTCCCTGGTGACTTTCTGTTCTCCCTCAGGGAGAGAACCTGGGATTTAAGATCAGTAAATGAGGTGACACTTCAACTCCTATGGAAATCTGAAACTTTTGGCCTGGGAATGGGGTTGAGAGCCAATTCTTGTGGAACTGTTAAAATCCCATTATGAAGAAAAACAAATCCCGTTACAAAAATACCCTGGAGAAGTTTCCTTACAGTTCTACAGCACTGGGATTGTGGGATGGGCATAGTTACAGGCACTGTGGCAATTGAAATTCTGACATTGTAGTTAATATATTAAGTCAAAAAATTTTAGAGTGTAGTTTCTCAAGAAGTGATTTGGGTGAAGAAAAAGTGTTTAAGCTAGCAGAGGGGAGAATTTTTTCTCAGAAATTTATCTTTCAGCTTGTGAAAGTGTTAAGCCTGGACCCATTAAATATCAGGCATGTTAAGGAGGATTTATCACATTTACTTTTTCAGTTTTCCCATCTTGCTGTTGTACCATAGGCTATTTCTTGCCTTGCTTGCATAGAGCCTTGTGTGGAGGAAAAATGAGTTGTTTGCCAGGGAGTTTGAGATCAAGCAATTAAAATGGGTAAGATTTTAAACTTACACAGTGTTATATGTCAATTATATCTCAATAAAGCTGGGGAAAATATAAAAACAATACAACTGACAAATTTTTTTAAACATTTTTTAAAAGTATAGATTATGTACTAGAAATAAATAGGTAATTATTGACTTACATTTTGTTTATTTACACTTTTCCTTGGTTACGAAGAGTTCAGGTGTGTTTAAATATGCAGTTAAATTTAGTGATATTCCTCTTTTATCAAAGAGTAATTAGGGGCTTCCCTGGTGGCGCAGTGGTTGAGAGTCCGCCTGCCGATGCAGGGGACACGGGTTCGTGCCCTGGTCCGGGAAGATCCCACATGCTGCGGAGTGACTGGGCCCGTGAGCCATGGTCACTGAGCCTGCGTGTCCGGAGCCTGTGCTCCGCAACGGGAGAGGCCACAACAGTGAGAGGCCCGCGTACCGCAAAAAAAAAAAAAAAAAAAGAGTAATTAGGATCTATAACGGGCCACCCTTCCTTTTTCTTGGCTAAACACGGCGGGGTGGATATGAGCCATGATCACAGACGGCTGTTACTGACATGCAGAAGAGAAGGCTTCCTGGCCTCTTTGGAGGTGAATCACCCCTAGGGTTCAGAATGGCAGTTTAACAGAGGGAAACAGGCAGCCCTATATCCCCGTTCTCCCTGCTCTTCTAATTCTCACACACAAATCAGATGCTTTCATTTCTTTCTGCAAATTTAAAAGTCACATGTGAAACTTTGTGTTGACTTGGCCCACATTTATTATTACTCTCCCTTTACAACAAGTGGGAGAGGCTGCTCTTTCTAGCATGATTTTGTTTCAAGAGATTTTAATCATGCAAACCATCTCTACTGGTTTTTCTTTGGATGTGGATGTAAACTGTTACCAACGGTAAATTTCATCCATCTATTAAAAATAACACCTTATGTAACAATTGTCTGTAAGCACAACAATCAAAAGGATGTAAGTATTTATTTAATGTCGCACTAAATTAGTTTGATCTTCACCCCTAGTCATTTCCTTTTGGAATGATTGTTAGGCTCTTGAAGCATAATCCAACTGTTAGCCACATTGTGATCTAAAATAGAAGGCAGTTTAAATCATTTAGAGTTTAGAAATCAAGAGGCAGTGTAGTTTAATTACATTTCATGGTGAATTCTAAGACCTCAGTTTTCCCATCACTTCTCTCCAGCTTCTCAACCAAGTTTATATAATCAAACCAGGGAGGAACACCCTGTAGCTGTCATTATGTTTACAAATCCCCAAACCCTTTAAATGGTATACTGTAAACTCTGTACTATTTTGTTTCTGTGAGAGACGCAATAACGATATGACGGTTAAGGGCACAGTCTCTGAAGCTAGTCTGTTCTTTGTGACCTGGGCCAGCTACTTACCTCACCATTACTGTGTCTGTTTCTATACAATAAGGACCACAATAATAGCACCTACTTTATGAGGTTATCGTGAGGATCGAATGTCTTAATATATACGATTTACTTAGAACAATGCCTGGTACATAGTAAGTGCTATCTAAGTGTTTACTAACATTATTTTCTTTTTCAGAGGTGTTGAGTCCTTGGTGTACCGCTGTGTTCCCTTTCATGCTGGGCCACACGTTTGTCCTTCTCAGTTTACCTCATTATCCTACTCCAAGAAATGTTATGACTTGTCACATCTGGTCTATACTGAAACTGAAATTTAAAAATAAATCAAGGGTCTTAGCCAACTTTCCTTAAGAAAGTCTTGTCTTTTTTTTTTTTTTTTTTTTAGGAAAGTCTTGTCTTGCCGAGTATACATGGTTCCTGGAGATACGATTTGAATCTTTCTTCCTTCAAGTCAGCTAAGTGTATTATAGTGTTCTGGATAACTAACTGTCTCCAAATGGTGGGTTTAATTCCTCAGTATTTGATGGCCTTTGGAAGGTGATGCAAAAAAATACCGGCAGCTCACCAAATTGCCTATAATATTTGGATGAAAAGCTCTTCTGGTTCCACATCTTAAGTAAAACCAAACACATCAGTACTGACAGTACTTCAGAAAATTAAAGTGTTTCTAAAATATTTACTGTGAATATCATGTGGTTACAAATCTGCAAAATGGGGTCATAGCACCTAACTTACACAGTTCAATTCCATTGTATTCTTAGTATAACTATCATAGTTCCTTAAAAAACAAACAAAAAACCACCAACAACAAAACCAACTATCACCCCGATCATGAATAAGGAAATAAGGCCGTTATTTGTATTCAAACAAATTAAAGTGTTTTTGTGTTGTGTGAAGTATTATTATCAGGGAAATGCTTTAATTAACCAACTTCCTTATCCAGAGATTACAGATAATGCTGTTTGATACGTTTTTCTTGATCATGTTTCAAGATAATCATCATTGCCTCTAACCATTGCCTCTGTTAAGCAGTTCCCAGTTTACAAAATGTTGAACTCGTAAATTGAAAATTAATACACTAGAGTGTAACTTCCCTCCCCTTTTATCATCATAAAGGGCATTTAAACAAATCAAGGCACTTTTTACCCACAGTGATTGTCTGGCAGTGAGCCTGATCCATGTGATACCAGAAAGCTGTTTCCTAAACACATCATTAGAACTGGGGACTGTCCAGTATAGAGGACCCTTTATGGTAACATAACTGCCTGGTTTTTCTCTGTGGACTCATTCCTATTCTCAAACTATGTGGGTTTAGTTGGAATGAACCCCACTGCCATTTCCCAGCACGGGTCTTGCTTGCTTTAAAATGATCAGTGTATTTACCATCCAACCCCAATCCCCAATGGCCATTGTGATTGGCTCAGGGATAGGTACATTAACCAATCAGAGCCAATGATGACTTTTGCTGGGCATTCTGAGAAATAAGTTTGCCATCTCTCTTGTGTGAGCAACCAAAAAAAAAAAAAAAAGAATCTCTCCCTTTCCTTAGAATGAGTAGTAGGAGAATGTTAGATCTGGAAGGAAGTGTGGCAGCCATGTTGATGAGAAAAGCCGAGAGCCCAGAGCTGCTGAGACTAGGGTATTGGGGGGGTTGGCACAGAACCCTGTGGAGCCTGCAGTCGAAGACAACTTCACAGAAGCCAGACTCTTTAGGCTGGAGACGGAGAGACATGAGCCCTGGGAACATGGTGTGAGCTTTTGGATCAAACTTCACCTGAATCGGTCACAACTCTAGACTTTTCAGCCACTGAGTCAGTACATTTCCTTTAATGTTTGTCAGTCTGGGTTGCTTTTTTTTGTTACCTGCACCATAAGGAGCCCTAAACCATGAAGGCACAATAGCCTAAACTGGATAGAAGCGTTTGGGCCCCAGAACGTGTATTTCCAGGAGCACCATGCTGCTACCTATACTACGATGGGGACTGGGAAGGAAATGGGCCAAAGCTAGGCAGTCAACCAGTAAAACAGGTGAGACATTCATGGATGGCTTCCATGGTGATGCCAGGGAGACTGAAAAGAAGAAACCAAAGACACAGCTTGGGAGTTGGGAGTTCTTGCTCAGGCAGGCGGGGGTTACGGGGTGGTGCTAATGGCTGAATAGTAGTCATGTATTTGTGAATTAAAGTCTCCCTGGTTCTCACAATCGGTTGGTAAGTTAATTACGAAAAGTTTTCTAGTTGATGGGAAAAAAAATGGTCATTAATGGAAACTGCAGTCTTCATGTTTTAAGAAAGAGTGCTTATTTTCAATGCAGATAAAATAGATTTACTTTGCAAAAAAAGGCATAAGAATAAGTGTCTAGGGCTTCCCTGGTGGCGCAGTGGTTGAGAGTCCGCCTGCCGATGCAGGGGACATGGGCTTGTGCCCCGGTCCGGGAAGATCCCACATGCCGCGGAGCGGCTGGGCCCGTGAGCCATGGGCGCTGAGCCTGTGCGTCTGGAGCCTGTGCTCCGCAGCGGGAGAGGCCACAGCGCTGAGAGACCCGCATACCGCAAAAAAAAAAAAAAAAGAATGTCTATTTTTCAGGTTATTCTCATCAGTGGATGCTAAAGAATGGTAAACCACTCTTAAATAAGCACTGTATTTGTTCATTTGTCATTTTGGAGTCTCTCATTCAGTAAATAGTAATTTTGTTAAATTTTAAGGGTCACAGTTAAATGTTTAGCCTTGATTTTAATATTAGATCAGAGTCATTTTCCATGGTTTGCTCTTTTTCACAAATTATTGCTTTGCCTTTTAAATAAAATTGAAAGGAAATAGAATGAGACCAGGATGGTCAGGGAAACATTTCTTTAGCTTATTTTGAGAAAAAGAATATTCTTTCTTTGTCCATTCTGAACTTAGAAAATCTATTTTTTCTATATGATACTGAAATATTTAACAATTCATAAAAAACATAGCATTTACATTAAAATACCACCTTAAATACAGCCCTGTAATTTTCACCAGGAACCTTGTAAAATATCATGAATATACATGCATAAATACTAAAACAAGACCACTCAAAATTCACATGGAAGTGCAGCATTTCACACAACATAATAAATATCCAGGATATCAAATCCACAAATTGATCATTATTCTGATTTAGATTCTTTTTTCCAGTTAAGACTTTTACTGTATAATTTATTATAATAACCTTACAAGTTAAACTAATTGAGAATAGAATTCAACTAATCTGACTGCTGAAATAGCACAATTGTCAATATATTGCTGCATATTTTAATTTACAACATAGAAAGCTGCCATTTCGGCAGGAAATACACATCCATGTAACTAACTGCTCAATGAACTTCTTTTTCAATGTATGAAAAAATGTCAAAGTTAATAGTATGAAAGGAAACAGAAGCTAATATTATTTCTGAGATAATTTTATTGCCTTAGCTCTTGGGCTTTGGCAAAAAATATCTTAAGTTTCAATATATATCATATAACTTAAAAACATTATTTACAAAATATAAAAAAATTTAACAAAATACTGTACAAAATACTGTCCTTACACATTTAAAGGGTGCTTTTCCTTACAATGTACGAGAGCCCTTTATATTTCTACGTCTGATTTTCCCACATGCTTTCAGGATCCCTTCCTCCAGTATTTCAGAGCTGAGTTTTTAATAGTGGAAGCTGGTCTATAATGAAAGTGTGAAGCCAAAGATAAAGGTTGCTATATACCTCACTGATACTCTTCTAGATCAATTCTCCTGGTTAAAAGTCACTTAAACTCCAAATCATACATTTTGCTTTTTACATTTTGCTTCTTACATCTTGCTTCTTTTGTTTTGTCACGAAATATCGCTAACAAACATGTTTTAGGGGGTGTTATATCACTTATGAAGATTCTTTCTTCTGAAATGAATGAAAGTGTTAAGTAGGCACCCACCACTTCTGTTAACCTGTCCCAACACCTTCTGTTTCTATGCACCAACACTTAGTATGATTTCTTCATAAAAAATACTCAGAGAGTGAGATTCATGTTTACTGCTCCTTGCTGCTCTAATAGATGTCTTTTTTAAATGACTAATATTCACCCACCACTATTGAGTTCCATAACCGAGTTCCATAGTCAAGGATCTTATCCTGAGTATGGACCAGTTCTCTCGGCATGAAGGCTCTTTCCTGTTCTTTCTTGCTTACGAGACAGTTTATCTTCCTTGCCCTCAATATCTGTTCCCTAAACCACCAACATATGAACTCAAACTTTTTCAGTTTTAGAATCCCAAGAAATCTACATGCCTAGTGTGTGACATTGACATCGATCAGGTAAAGGTACTTCTGAGAGAGCCTCGAGGATCTGGGAATTCTGAGGAGGCAGGTGTCAGGCTCCCCAGCCCAGCACAGTGGGAGCCACTCCCGTTGTACATCTGTCACTGGGGACTCTTGCCCAAGGCTAGAGTGGTTACTTGCAAGTGTGGACATCAGTCATGCTTTCACACCTCCTGCAGCGGACGTAGCAGCACCAGATAAACTTGCACTCGCATCGCTCCACGTGCCTGACCACGTGGGTGTTGTAGCCCCTGCCGCAGCAGAGGAGGTTGCAACCGTCTGCGCCCTCTGACGTGCGGTTGCACTCTCTGCCTTGGGTCCCTGGGATCCCGAGTTTCTTATCCTCTACACAGTAATTGGGAGACTTATTAATATAGAGCAGATCATCCTTGTGGATCGGTATTTTCCTCTGATCTTTCTCTCTCCTGTGCATTTTCCTCTTTATTTTGTCTGAGATTTGGACACTGTTTTCATATTTATCCTTCAACAGACGGCCAATCTTTTCAAAAGAAGACATGGTTTTCCAGCATGTTTTCACAGCACAGGAGCCGGAAACTCCGTGACACCGGCAGTCTAATGACATCAACTTGGCGACAGCCTGAAACCAACAGGAATTGAGTGAAACATCGTTCATGAAGTGTTTTACTCAACAACAGAAGCACTACCAGCCTAATCACTTAACTTTCCGGATCTGTTTACTCCTGTATAAAAACGATGGTTATATACTTCAATTAAAATTAAATAAAATAATAATAGTTTTAAAAATACTTCAATTAAATAATAGAAAAATAATAATAATAATTTTTAAAAATAAGGATGATTTTGCACGTAAAGGATCTTTTAGATCGCTCAGAATTCAAATGTTTTGTCCTTCTCTTCACTCTACAGAACAAACCTTTCTGAGTCTAATTTAAAGCTGCAGACCAAGCTAATAACGTTAACAGAGATTAGCTGAGATAACAAAGGGAAGTTACGTTTATTTCTAATCTCTCATTTAATTTTGGGTGTGAGAGGATGTTCATTAGTGCCTCTATGTTCCTGATACCGTTCATTTTAGCACCTTGCTACTCAGAGTGTGGTTCATGGACCAATAGCGCCAGCATCACTTGTGAGAAATACAAACTCTCAGGTCCCTCACCAAACCTGTGGAATCAAAATCTGCATTTTAATAAGATCCTCAGGTAACTTGTATGCACACAGAAACAGCTGTGGAACTTTACAAATAACCCCTGAGATTCTTATTTGTCAAGGTGGGGTCCAGGCAATGACTTCTACAAAGCTGCTCAGATGATTCCAAGGGCATCTAAGGATGAGAGCTACTGAACTGACAGTTCTCAGGTTTGATCACTGCAAACATCAGTTATATTCACAGGGGTTTGGGGGGATATGCCATCCCCTGGTCACAGAACACATGAGAAATCCTGACTAATCAACTTAAGTTGGTCAAAAGAAGGGGTTGGAGAGTGCAGTGGCTCCCAGCCAATTCTTCCCCTCTTCTGGAAAATTAATTCAAAACATACGTCCTATTCTTGATGTATCAGTAGCACCCTCCTAACATAGAAAAGGTATAATATTTATATGATTTTTCAATTCCAAGTGCTGAGTTATTCCGTTCAGATGGAGGAATTCAATGAGATGACATACATGGGTTAGAGTCCATTGCCTGACACACATTAAGGTCAAAATAAATACCCCCTGTCCCTGACGAAGAAGGTACGGTAAGAGTTGAGATAAAATTTCAAATGGGGCTAACCGTGCAAAAACAATACAGAGATTCCTAAAATAAAAGTTTATAGTTCTAATTTCTTACATACCGGCCAGTCAGCATAACTTCCTTCAATCCCCAGAGGATGGCAGAGCAGATTAATAAATCGTCAGGACTAACTGGAGAGTTGACGTTCTGTCAACAGGCTGGGTAAAATAAAAAATGGGTCTAGCCATCCGATAACTTGGAAATTATGTGTGTAATCTCGCCAAATAAAGGAAAAACCCCACCGCTTAAATTCCACTTACAGTTCTTATCAAAACTATAAAATGACAGGGGTTTCTACTTTGTTATTTTGTACCACAGTTGACATTGACATGTTTGTGGAATGTTACATTTCCTAACAAATTAACTAAAGTTTCTGAACTATCTAATGAGACAGAGTATTTCAAACAATTTGTTATATTTGCAGCCTTGAATGAGAGCATATGGTATTGATTTGTGTAATATTCAATACTTTTTATTAGTGTTTAAAATAATAAACCGAACAACATTTAAACACTGTCTTTTATAGGATACGACGCATATGCTTGTTTTGAACTCACGAAACTAAGAAGCGAGTAGATATGTCTATTTCTTATTATCTCAGGTAAAATTTACCTTTCAATTGAGAACAATTTGGCACACAAGCTTATTTGGTTAAATTTATGGCATTTGATATTCACAAAGCCTTCAATTTTTAAAAAGTCTCCAGGCAAATAAATGTTCAAATTAATGCGATCTGCCTACTTTTGTTCAGATTTTAAGTGCCCAAAGGATATGAGAAAAAGAGAGCTCAATCAATGCCAGGTAACAGCAAAACAAATTGTCCAAAGAAAGCCCAAAATCTAAGAATGTAAGTTTATGTGTTTAAACCTGATCAACGCTCGTTACAGTCATCACTTAGTGATTTAGAGCTGCCTCTCGCTCAGATTCTTGACTGAGCAGCTGCCTTTTCCTTTTATTAACCAGTTCAGACATTACCTATGGTGTTGCCAATTTGCAAAGCATGGAGGACAGAATAGATGCTCACCAAATACTCATTGAATGGTTAGTCTAGCTCACTTGAACAGTTTTAACGCATCCTCTATTGGTAATCTGAATCAAGAGGAAGTAATAAAGACAACTTTCTTCAACAAAAGAGTCACTGCCAGGAAGTCAGTGATGTTGGGAGACCCTGATCTGGCTGGGTTTTCCTCCAATTCCTCAGCCCACAACAGTGTTAGGACACAAGAGTGACACACTACTGCACAGGTGTGAAGGATAAGAGGGAAGACTGATCTTGAATCCAGGGATACCACCTGCTGAACTTGTAACCGAATTTTGGGGAGAGTTTCCTGCCATAGAAAACTAGAAACTTTTAAATACGTGGAGTTAACTAAACTTTCTAGAGATATTTTTAAGGAATTTAATTCTGTTATCTTTCAATTCCATTACCTTTTTGTCTTTAACGATAAGTATAAGAAAAGAAATAGTATTTTTATTATATATGTGAATACTATTCATATTGATATTCTAGGATAGAAAGACAAAGAACTTGACATGCAATTTAAATGATTATACCCTTGTAAGACTCCAAGGAAGAAACTTGGACAAATAGGGATAAAATAAAGCAATGCAACCACCACTAGGAGAATGTGATGAAATGCAGAGTTCAAGGGCAGATAACATGTACACACACACACACACACACACACACACACACACACACACACACACAGAATTTAACTCTCAGAGCACATTTTCATAAATTATTTTACTTAATTTAGTTTTATAGGAAGAAATGCCTTGCATATAGTAGGTAGTTCATGAACATGTACTAGCTTATTATTCCAATTTGACAGAAAAATAAATAGCCTGGTTGAGACACTTGTCTTCCATAGGATAGATGGTAATATATGATATAAAGTCTTTATATGCAGCAGGATAATTTTGGTAGAACAGAGAAAAATGAAAGTGGAAAGTACAAATATATTTAAGAAAATTGCATGAACACTCCAAAAATATATATTCTGGAGCTTTTCAGCTAGGATTCTTAATTGATGTCAAATAGCCATTCTGAGATGCAGTGATAGCATAGTGATTTTCTAACAGGAGAAGTAAGAGAATAGCAAGCGAATGAGTTGTGTGTGGTTATGAGAAAATTCCTTTCTCTACTTCGCTGAGTTGTTAAGGTTTATAACGATATTAACAGAGGAATGTTTTGTTAACTATTGCAAACAGATGTGCACATTTTGGTGGAATATTTTTAAACTATGGGAGAGCAATTGGGAGCATAGCATCTAATCTACTAGGCTCCCTATGTTAAGTTTTGGTTTGATAAATTTCTGATGAAGTGAAATAGGAAAGATATATCATTAACACTTAACGTAAAACTAGAAACTGTTTGAGAAGTGGTCTAAGGAGTTAGTTTTGACTCAGAGGTAACACAGCCAGAGGTGATTGTTTTTCGGTAGGTTGCTTTATCCAAGCTTTACAGAAATGACTAAAAAAAAAAAAAACAACTGTTATGGAACATTTTGTGACATTTCATTTGTCAACTATCAGATGATCTGTTTAAGTTTTTATGAAAACGGTGACATAAATTGGATGGTTAATTGTAGTATTCCTATTTCTCTGACCCATTTTGCCCCTTTCAGTCCAAAAATATATATGAACCTGCTGAAAAGCAAAACACTTGTGTGTTGTTCAAGTACTTGTAAATACTCTTGAAACAGGTTAATGAAATTTGGGGGTGGGGCCATGCCACTTTTTTGAGTTACTCATCATAAAACAAATTATGGGGTAGGGAAACTTAAAAGTTTATGAGGTGGACATGGGAAGAATGGAAATATTTTAAGCACACCAAAAGAAATACCCATAAATATTCCAAGTCACATTATTCTCAGAAGTTCTGCCCCTGGAAGACATCACATCGTTCTGTTAGACAATCACCATTCGGCAACATTATTCTTGGAGTCATAACTTTAGGAATGGTGTCAGAAACCAAGTGGGAATTAGAGTATTTAAGGTCAGCGGTTAGAAAATCATCTATTCTGCTCACAGCACTACTAAGCACCAGTACCCACATTTCTCTGAACGCTTTCCTACGTTTTGAGTTTGGAATTTTGAGATGAGGAAAATCAACTCAGTTGAATGCAGACCTTGAACCTTACTCAGAAGGATACCTATTAGATTAAACTCCTAATTGCCAATATTGAAAATGTAGTTTTTTGTTCTTCCACGTTAGGTAATATCTTGGAAACCTGGTTGATTTTTGTTGTTGTTCCGGTGCTGGTGGTGGTGTTGGCTTTTTTCTTGTTTTTTTTTTTTGACCACCAATGGAAAGAAAAATATTAAAATGTTTTGAATTGTAATAGTTCATGAGAAAAGACCAACAAAAACATCAGTGTAGTGCCCTCAAAATATCCAGGTAATATTTTGTAATATTTAAAGATTCCATCTAGACCAATGTGGAAAAAAAAAAAGATTCAGTAGAGAAAACTGAAATTTACACAAAATGTGTATATACCTAAAGGCTGAATTTTTGGGGCATAATTAGAATAATAGGGAAAACCTCAATAAAGTGAGGACATTGTTTTATTGCCAATAAACAGGGGATTAAAATTGATGCTGAATAGTTGTATTTTTTAAAAAAAAAATCAGAATATAAATAGATCAAAGTTAATAGTTATAGAGGGAAATATTGCTACCTAATTTGAAAAAAAGCCACATAAGATGGAATAAAACTAAATAGCTGTCTAATATTGCTAATAAAAATACATTTTAGAATACTTTAGGACTTTTCATAAGTCTGGAGATAACTTTATTCAAAAGAATGAATTATAACATGAGTTTGAAGTTTTGTTTTCTGATTAAATTTTTTTAGTCTCTACCAAATTATTTAAAGAATGACTAAAGAAGATTTAAGGTCTAAGGTGATACTAAATATTCATTCAATTGTTTTCTTGTTTTTAAAATGTATTAATTTGACTTGATGATTTTCTCTAGTTTAGAGTTTTAAAGAACAAATGTTAATTACCTTTAACCTCTTTTATATTAATATGTTAGAAATAAAAAAATTCCTTTATTGGATATTATTTAAATTGAAGCAAAAACTCATTCATTTAATTTTTTTTAAATGTAAAACTTTATCAAGAAGAGACCTGTGCATAACTATGGTGTTAGCAGGAGTTACTTTAGTGAGATAAATTAACTTAAAATTTCAAAACAAAAAAATGAAAAGCTTACATAGCTATTTACTGACTTTCCTATTTTCGAATCTTCCGTTTTGAATCAATATTCAAATAGAACTGAATAGTCAAATTTGAATTTGAAGTGTTATGGTGATATATTTATTGAGTTTTCGGTTTTTGTATTTTAAACCAAAGTGGTTAAGTAAAGAAAACTGGCTGAAACTTGCAACTATTCCAAGAGAGTTCCATTTATTCACTTTCCAAAAATGTAAAACAAATACAGCATATACTTTAAATATTCCTAAGAGATACCGCAACTCATTTTAATTTATTGCAGGAGAATGTGGCAGATTGCAATGACTACTTTGGGACCTTTACAGGTTATTGAATATTTACAATAATATAGGATATGTGGTGATATTCCCGTCCTGAAAAGATTATTACAAAATAGAAAATCTATATACCTAAGAGAGGTTTTGACTGTTTTTGGAAAGTCACTATGAATTACCAAGTAATTCAACTATGTTGTAGAACTCAAAGCTTATTGTGTCAATATTCATTAAGGGAAATACATAAAAGTTAAATTAAGCTACAAATTTACGCCATTTTAAGAAAATTTAGCATTAAAATATTCATAAAGGAGGTTAATTAGATGTGATTCTTCAAATTTCGCTCTCCCTAGACCTTTAATATATCTATATTTTTAAATATCAAAATATTTAATATATCTATAGTTGCTTTACATTTATCTATATTTTTCAGTTTTTACAGTGAATCTACATTGCTTTATAATAACATAACTACTTCCCTTAAATAAATTTTGTTTTACGAAAAATATTACTTGAGTTGTGTATTCTCTAATGTATTCAAGAATGTTTTGCTAGAGAAAGTAAGGACAGAACTGATAACTTCTTTAGATGTCATTGCCTACTAAAATAAAGATTTAAAAATATAATGAAAATTCAAATTTGAAAAAATGAAATTTGATTCAGTCCCGTTAGAAAGGCAGATACTGTAAGTCTTATTCTGGCTCTGCAACTAACCATCTAAGAGGGTGGAATAAAATGACCCAACAGGCACTTGTACTTCTGTTATTTTATAATTGGTGTTTTAGGTATACGAACTATACAATCACAAATATATTGTATAATAAGATTCAACTCACATCAGATGGAAACTTAAACTAAATCAATATGGTCAGTACAGGCTCATGAAAGAATATATATATATATATATATATATATACATATACTTGCTGTTATACATATATAATAAACATATAATTTTACATACACACACACACACACACACACACACACACATACATACATACATATTCTTAGACTGCAAGCGTTTGGTTTTTAAACCATTTGGTCAGATTGATCCAGAAGTGTAATCCTAGTGTTATTTACCTAAAGGCACTGGATTTCTATTCCATTTTGTAATACATACCTGCCTTCCAGCTTCATTGTTATGAAGGTTCATTGCTAACAGTACTTTGCTTTCTTTTCCCGTGGTGTTTCTGATGGGGAAATCTAGGAACTTTCTGCTGAACCACATGCCATACTGGACATCATCAGAGCAGCCCCCCCAGTGCCAGCCTTCACTTGCTGAGCCGCCGTTCTGCAAGGTGGTGTCACAGGAACACTCGGTCATGTTGCCTGCACTGCATGACCTGGTCACAGAATGCACCAGGCCTGCAGCCATCACAGCATAAATAAATGCTGTTTCCTTGGTGCCTAGAATAAAACATAAGTTGCTAAATGAATGAGTCATACCGTTCTCTGTTTATGTTCATAACAAAGTCTTCTACTTATCTTCGTATCAGGGAAGCAACTTTTCAATGGATGCTTTAATGAGTAGATATTTCAGAAAGGACAATTTCATATTGTTCTCAGCTTTTAAAACAGCAACATTAATTTTCAGTATGATTTTCCTATATTGTATATCATAAATTGTCCTCATACCTTAATATCATCTGTTTATTTTTAAAATTTGAAATGTATGTCAGCATCCAGCTCAACACTTAACAGACAATAAAAATTCTATAAATACACGTTGAATTTAAAATCCCTCGTATGAATACGTAAATAGTGATACAATGCCCAAAGGAGTCCCACTTACCCTTCTCGTTAAATTTAAAATGTGTTATCAGAAAACACAAGCTGAAAATTTTGGTATGACTTTTGTTGTGTAAAAAATACACGTCAGAATGCAAATTAAAATTAAGCAAAGACCAAAGCAATTAGGAGATAAATGTTGCAGTTTCATTTCACATCAAAGACTGATTTTTTAAGGATATCCTGAAAAACAATATTAATATGAAAGTTAAATATTATATAAATATTCTTATATACAGTATTATATCGACTTACAGTATTAAAGGCAGTTAAGATAATTGAAATGTCATCAGCAAAAAAAAAAAAAATTGTTATGGAAAACAATTGAATGTTGAATATGGATATCACACACCTGCAATAGGTTTTGAGCTAAAATCTTTGAAAATTAAAGTCCCATTAAAACAGTAATAAAATGGACTAGAAGGGACTCAGCAGGCGACTTTTTCCCCCCCTTTGGAGATGTTTAGATTGGAGTAGAAACGTTATCACGTCGTTGTCCAATAAACCCTTTCAACAGCTGATGCCTCTACATTTCAGCAACTGTGAAGAACACATCCTCTTCTTTTTTTTCTGCAGGGAGTCAGGGCCCTTTCGGAAGGGTGTGCCGGCCAAAGCGCAGCGGGGCAAAAGCGATGCTTTGGCGGCGGTGAGTGTAGGGACCCGGCGGGGAAGGGTCAAAGGTGGAGGGGGAACCGAAATGAGTGTGGAAAACAACTAAGAATCTTTCAGCGCCCAGGGCCTGAAATCCTTTGAATCTGCTGATACCTCTGTACCTTTATCCTTACCAAGTCACTGCTAGGCCGGTGGAAGTGGAACTTCGTGTTACTGCAGCTTCCCGCGCCGCAGCTGTGCGCAGAGGAGGGAAAAGATAGAAGGAAAGGAATAGAGGGGAGAACTAAAGTAGTGCCCGAGCTAGCCTCACGTGGGGCTGCCCGGGACAGTCCCTTTAAAATCGCCATTATTCCGTCTTCCGGGTGCTGTAAGGAGCCAACCAGCTTGGGGCTTCGCTGCAATTAGCCAGGGCTCGGTGCGCAGCGGAGCTGCTTTTAAATCAAAGCAGATGCGGCAGCGGCATTCCCCGTAGCCGACATCATGTTTCTCCAGCTGGTCATCCACGTAGGGGGGCGCTACGGGGTCCGAGGGGTCGGCGGGGTGGAGTGTCAGCTTTTCCCCAACTCCGGCCGGGCGCCGCGGGGAAGGAGGAAGAGCTGCAGCTCCACGCGCCCCGCTCGGGACCTGGGGTGTCACCCCGTCCAGGACAGCACCTGCACCCGGGTCTGGCTTCAGTCGCCCCCAGTTTCATTGCACTAAAGGACCTCTCTGGGGATTTAGGGAGCGACGGGACCACGCAAGCACTCTTTATTTACAAGAATTGGAGGACCTGCCCTCCGTCCCGCGCCAGCTGCGAGCGTCCCGGGACTCACCGCTGCTCAGCTCGTAGCCAAAGAGAGGGCTGGTGTCAGGCGGGGCGGCGGCGGCCGCCAGGCAGTTCCATCTCTCGTATCTGAACTGGCTCCTGCACTCCTGAATGCCCAGACGGGCGCCCTCGCAGATGCTCGGCAGCAGGTACGGTTTCCTCTTGCACAGCTCCTTCTGGCGGCTGTTCAGCGGCAAGCTGGCGCAGCCCAGCTTCTCCGGAACCCCAAAGGAGGCGATGCCCAACCACCTGTAAGACACGGCCGCCCCTAGCGTCAGCCGCTGCCCTGCTCTCCTCCCAATCCCAGATGTTTACCCGAAATTTAGGTCGCCCGCCCTAGGGTCCCGCCTCTCCTCTCCAGCCTCAGCTGAAAGTTCCCTGAGGCTGGGCATCCCTTTTGCCACAAACCCCGTGCTCCCCTGCTGCCCCCATACTCACATCCAGTTTCCTTGGGCTCCGCAGGGGAACAGCGTGAGCAGGGCTGCCCACAGCGCGCACAGGCGGGACAGTCCCAGGAGCGCTGCTCTGTCCATGGCCCCCGCATGGAGTCTCCCAGGCCCAGCCACTCCTCTTCGACCCTCCCCAGCCAGAGGCCCACCAGGACAGAGGTCAGTTCCCCAGCACCAAGTTGTCCCTCGCCTCCTTTCTCCCTGCAGACAACGTAAAAAGGCCAGCCGTAGTAGGGGCTCTCAGCAGCCTTCTCCTCGCGAGCTGGGAGCAGCGTGAGGAAGTTGGGAAAGTAGCTTGGGGCACTCCTCCCGAGACGAGTTGAAGATGTGCCGGAGATGCGGGAGCGTCCCTCGCATTCCAAGGTGAGAAACTTCTGTTGCTGTAGCTCTGTCTCCATCGCCCCCGGCCTCTCCTCCCATCTCCTCCCCCTGGCCGCACCTGGAGCCTGATTGGCCCAGCAGCGGCCCCTCATCTCATCATCCCGGGTCCTCAGGCTCTCATTGGCTGAGAGCAGGCTCCGCGGGGGGCGCTCGGGCCCGCTGTTCCCCGACAGCCGGTCCAGATCCTGTGTTCCTGACCTTTCCTCCTGTCACAGTTTCCTGAGAGCGGGTCTCTGCGGGAGGGGTATTGATTCAACCCGAAGACTGATAGGGGAGCTTCTGTCTTAACAACCCTGGGTGAAGGTGTGGGTTGAATGGGCGATGTTTGAGTTCCACCCAGCCCAGTCTCATTTGGATTAATTACCCTCTGGGTGGAGTGGATGGAAAAATCTCACTGCCCCCGTTTCTTTCCTCTCCTTCACCTCACAGGAGAATAATCTTCTTGAGTCAGAGTTGCTACCAAAAAATTGACCTTTCAACATCCTGCTTGAGGTCTCAACGTTTCAGGAGACTTTAGAGAATGAGTAAAATACTTGTCAAGCTTGAGATCGATCATCGTCTGTGCAGGCATTTACTTTTATCGAAAGGGAAGATTCCAGCCTAGCATCGAATCTACCATATTTAAATTGTGTTAGGTGATTTCGTTTTACGATTTTGCTTATTTTCCGTGGTCTTTGAGGGCACTGTCAGAAGATGGAGGGCACAGAGAGAATGCGAGTGAGACCTGTCTGGAGAGCTCTAGAAAGATGAGGGCTGTGTTCTTTCCCTTCTCTCCAATGCACACTATGTCTCTCTTGGAGACTTTGGACAGGGCTACACATTGAAGACAAATTTTAAAAGCTTACTTATGAAACACCTACTGTGTGTCCACTATTGTGAGAATTTATGAAGATCCCTTCCCTTAAAGGCACAGCCTTTCTGGCCTTGTCTCCAGCCATGGAGACAAGTCTGAAACAAAATAATTTGAGATTATCAGTAAAGGAAAGTATAGAATCCAGCAAGTTACTCTCTGGAGCCAAAGAGTTCGGAAGCAGGAGAATGTTCTGGTGCCTGGAAGTTTAGAGAGTTTAGTTAACCAGTGTTTTCCAGGTTAGAAGATCTCTGGGGAGAACTCTGAATTCAGGCGGCACATGCGTAGCTGCGGTATCAGAAAACCCTGTCTCAACTAGTTGGTGACAGGAAATGTTTATGAGGGGCATCACCTGCTCCTCAGAGGACTTCTGAAATGTTAGTAAACTCTCAGGGTATACCACCTTAGTGGGTCCCAAAATCTAGACTTACTCAAATTAAAGATTTACTTTATTAGCTTTATCCTCAAATAAATGATTTTATTTGCTGCATGTCTCCTATATCAGCCCAGAGCAATAAAAGCTCACTGAAATTCCCATCCTGTCCCATTCATTTCTTTATCCAACAAATATTTATTGAGTGAACGCTATGTACCAGGTCCTAAAGCCACATTGTAATTTTTAGAGAGTCAAGTTGATGATAGGGTGTAGTTACTGATCCAGAAATATTTTGGCTAATGGCTAGTGGCCTCTCTGAAAATCAGAGGCTTCATCCAAGCTCACTTTATTCTGTGAGCCTCTCCATGAGGGATAGTGGAGAATTCCCTGCTGAACTCCTGCCATGGGGCCCAGTACACGAGATCCTGGTTTTGAGCACAATTTACTGAACAGATTAACAACGTGGTGAGGAACATCCCGAGCAGATATCTAAGTGGCCCAAATGGTGAAACTAGAGAAGAGGCTTCCTCTGCAGGGGTATTGGGGAAGAACTGGGGGAGTGGAGAACACAAATACTTTAGGTTGATTTTTCGAGCCAACGATGGTAGATGTTTTAAGGAAGTTGCTGGACTTTTTTCCTTTAGGAAGATACACTGAGCCTCTGTTACGGGTTAAAAAGTGGGGATAGCACTGAGTTAAATGGTAGTGGAGTTTATAGCCCAGTTGGCAATCACAGCCAGAGCAATGAATGCATTGGGGAAGTACTGTGCGCTGGGAACACACACTGTAGGACTACTTAATCTAGTTTGGGAGTGGGGTCACTTGAATGTTGCCTTTGTTGTTAGTCTAGGGATCAAATACTGTCCAGGCGTCCAGATAAACCTTTAGAGGGGCACTCACAGTATTCTATTCTTAGAGTCTAAGACCACTGGGTCAACTAGTTTCAAATCCAAGGCACAGTTTCAGGGCCTGAGTGGTCCTGCATCTTTTCTGTGTGGTCTAGGGCCTTAGGGGTCATTCTGTTCATATCTCTAAAGCAAAGGAGACTTACTTCCAGGAGATGGTCCAGCTGAAGAATTAAGCTTCTTATTCAACAAGCAGACATTCGAGTGCCTTTTTTGTGTCATGCACTGAGAGCCTACATGCCCCCTGTGTTTTCTCTCTTACTCTCTGTCTCTCTCTTCTCTCTCCATGCAAAGATTCAAACCCCTCAAATTGGTGCTCATTTTATAGATAAAGAAATGAATTTGGAGACACTAAGAAACTTGCTCAAGGCCACTCAGCTAGAAGACAGTAGAGTCAAAAATCGATCTTATTTTAGAGGTCTTGTTTTTCCTACCACAACATACTGCTGCAGAACTTGATTAAAAAGCACTGCTTTTTTTTTTCCTTTTTTTGACCAAATCCCAGGTATCTGGTCTCAAGGTCTAAATTCCTCTTCTGTGTCCCGCGGATCTTTATATCACAGTTCACAGATCTCTCCATCAAAAGGGATGTTCTGTTCTGTGAACATAAACAAAAACCCACAATGGGTGGGTGGGTCTCCTGAAGAGGTCTCCCTGAAGTCGGGTCTCTCAGAGGCAGATGGCGGTCTGCGTGGATGCCCTTCCATTCCATCTCCACCCCCACCCCCACCCCCACTTTGCTGTCTGGTTTTTGTGGACTGGGAGGTATAGTGGAAAGAGCACTGGGCTGAGTTGAGTGATTGGGTTTCCAGTTAGCAGGTTATAATCTTGGGCAATCAATTTCACTTTTGATCCTCAGTCTTCTCACCTGTAAAATGCTCAAAAGCTCTTTCGGATCTGAATCTCTTACTGGAGTTTCCACAGGGCTGGAGGGAGGGAGGCGGTAGGCATGGTGTATACATGGATGTGGTGGGGTGGAGTGAATTTGCACTCCTAGGAGGAGGAAGCCTAGCGACCGGGTTTGTCTACCTGAGAGAGGGGCCCCAGTTCTTAGGGTGGCACAGGCTAGAGTTTTCTGGCCCCCATTTTGTATCTTCTGTTCCACTTTTCCTTGTGGATTTTAATTAAAATGAATTATTTTCTTTGCAGAAATATCTTAAGGTGGTCGAATTTTAAAATGTATTATAATCCTGTCAGGTCACATGAAACTTTATTTAGAAGATAAAAGAAGTTACAGATATTTTCTTTATCCTGGAATAGGAAGGTGAGGGGCTCCTTCAGAATCTAATTTATATCTCTTATTAATTTGAAGTGGTTCATCTCTACTACCATTAGTGGGGGTTATGCTCTCTATTTAAAGTTGAAGAATAAAGTAAATGATGGGTCAAATCCAAACATATACGCAACTACACATTTCAAATTGTTCATTTCTTTAGCAGCAAGAAGGAATCTCATTTCCTATTTATTATTTGTGATTTTGTAATTCAGAGAGAGAACAAAATATTAACTGTCTGATAGAACATAACCTGGTGCTTACTGTCTTATGCAGGCTTTCTAAAAAATGTTGTAAAGATCATACCACTAATTGTTCAAAATGGGAGCTGAACTTATATCATCTCATGATCTGAGCCCGGCTACCTAAAATTTGATTAATGCTGTTAAGCAAAGCACAGTGTAACTCCAAGTTTGTACAGATTACTGAAGCATCTGTAGCTTCTTGATCTGGCGAGAAGGGTACATGAATTTGTTTTCCTAGCAACGGTAAGGTGTTTTGAGCTACATTCTGGAAAAGGGGATTTAGGAGGGAGAGCCAGAGGAAATATTCATTTCACTCAAAGAAGCTCTTCAGAGAGACTGCATCTCTGACCATGGTCCTCTCTGACCAACTGGGCCAGTTGAACCAAGATAAGTAGCTGGCCAGCAATAAATCCCACCTCCCATCCGGGACAATTGTAGATTATTAGCTGTAGAACCCAGGAGAGGCTGTGCCTTCTGGTAGTTTTCTCTCAGTCCCTGGGAAACTCAGCAAAAAGTCTGCCTGCACAGATATGCCTTGGACTCTGTCTCTGGCAGTCCATCAGAGGACGAGACTTCTAAGGGCCCTGTTGTAAGAATTTCTGCTGCAGATCACAGAGACTTATGTACTGGAAACTGATACCAGAAGCACCCCAGCTGGTCTTAACTCTCGTGATGGAACAGAAGACCAGAGGTGACTTTTTACATAACTGGGTCCTCATCCATTCTATTTTAAATTCCACCTGGATGCTACCAGTGTGGGACAGAGCACAGGCTTGTGACCACTGGCTCTCAGGAGGGGGCAGAGAATGGTATTCTGGATGTCCTGTTGTCCTTTGGTGGCCTGAAAAGCCCGACTTGGAGCAGCAGAGGAGACACCAGTGACAGAACTAGGAGAAGGGACAGGAGTTGGAGAAGGATGCTGTCTTGCTTTGTAAATTTCCACAACTATGAAAGTAAAAAAAAATTTTTGTTGTTGTTTACTTGTCCTAGAAATTAAGATTGAAGAAGACTCAATAAGTGTTAATAGAACCTGGCTTATCTCTAGTGGTTATTTGCACTGATTATGCAATCTTTTCGGAATGAGGGACTATAAGCAAAATCCTTGACAAACAAGAGTGGTCACTATTTGTCAAAACTGAAATGCATGGAGAATGTTGAATCTCTCCATACCCCTTTTCAAAATATTTTTTTCTGAATTCTGTATAACAAAACAACTGAATTAATGAATTATTATTGAGTTTAAAAAATTATCAAGAAAACTTCAAAAATCTGGACTTTCATATTTTTAGGAGTACTATTTATGGAGAGATCACTGGGATGTCTATAATGGAAA